TTGATTGTGAAACGGTAGAATTCATTTTCCAATTATTGTCAAGATGAGGAAATTCATTAAACATCCAACAGGACATATATGTTATTAACCGCTAAGCCTGTGACACTTACACATTACTTCTCCTTGCATAATGTAATAATCCATTATCTAATTGTAATGCCATTTGTGCAACGATGAACGGATAAAAGGACCGACTTTTTTTTTGAATCGGTCATCATCACAACCTTTTTTACTTTTCCTTTATTCCTCACTTAAAATGTCTACCAAGAAAAGAACGAATGTCCGTCAGAGAAACTTTCTTGATGACAGGTTTCGAATGGAAGCATTAACACACAAGTCTTATCATTATGAAAACCCCTCGACTGGACCTCATAACGAACGTTTGGAATTCTTGGGGGACTCGATCGTCTCCTTCGTTGTTGCAAACTATTTATTTAACCGTTTTCCTAATTTCAAAGAGGGACAGCTCACCCTTTTACGAGCTAATTTGGTCTGTAAAAAAAAATTGGCCCAATTTGCTCTTCAACTTGGTTTGAACTCCGAGATTCGTTTAGGAGTTGGAGCATTACGCGATGGTGGCAGAGGCAGTGAAAAAGTTTTAGAAGATGCTTTTGAAGCATATATTGGAGCCGTATTTCTTGATTCAGGATATAGCATGGATGCGGTACGAGATTTTATGGAGCCTTTGCTAGCCCCAGCTGTTGATGAATTGATTCGTAGTTCTCCTCACTCGTCAGTTTTTCCTGCCGTGTTCAAACAAAAATTACATGAGCATAATAATGCACAATTCCAAATGATCGCGGACCAAATTTTAAATTCCGACCTTCAAGATCCAATTAATAAACTTCAAACTTGGTCTCAAAGAAGAGGAATGGGAATTCCAGCTTATAAACCCTACGGTGACAATTGTAATGAACATAACGCTGTCTTTACCGTTGGTGTACTTATTAATGGCAAATGTTATGGTCGTGGTTCTGCAAGAAATAAAAAGGATGCAAAAAAAGAAGCCGCAATAAACGCTCTTAAACATGTTACTACTGGACAAAATGACGAACTTAGCTCTTTTAGAAATATCAGTCGTTTATCTATGACGAACAGAATTCATGGTCCAGTTTCTAAAGGATTACGATCCAACTAAGTCGTTCTTTTATCAAACTGAAATAATCACAAGATTCAGAGAATTCTCAGAGTACAGTGATCTTCAGTGTGGATCAACTTCGTTGAGGGTATGGTGAATTTTTTTTTTTTTTTTTTTTTTTTTCGTATAATTGATATATTATATCATTTTTTTTTTTTTAAAAAAAAAAAAAAATTACGCATGAGTCATTTTGTAGTGTAGAATTTATTTCATATACTTTTTGAGTTGATTCACACCGAAGGTTATTCGTTCTTATTTTTTATTCGATATTTGGAAATAGGATTCTTTGATTGATTTTTTTTTATATTATATTATCGTTATATTTATTTTTTATTTTATTTTATCTTCTTTTATTTTATTTTACTTTTCATTATCTTTCTTAACTTACTTTTTAATACCTATGAATGAATAAGCATCACAATTACATATTAATATGATTAAGTAATTACGAAAATTTTTTTTTTAACGAGAAAAAAAAAATATTAATATTTTAAATTAATAAATATCAATAAGCGGTTTTACCTGTCGCACAATTATAACTTTTTAAGGGTAAATTAATCATATGAATTATCATTATTTTTCGAAATGGTGATAAACCATTCAATATTTATGAATATATTGACATTAAATTTGAGATTAAATTTGAGGTTTCATGATTCTCGTATAGGCTGATATGAACTGTAAATTAATGGGTATCTCATCCATACGAACTGATTTTAATTTCCACCTAATATTCATTCCATTTAATTCATCATCTGACTTTCTCATCACAAAATTCACAAATTTTTTGATAATGGTCCTTCGATATTTATAATGTCTTCATCCCTTTTCTAAATCAAATATTTTTTTTTTTTTGATGCCTTTCAATAAAATCACTACGGTATCAAAACTCGTATTTTATTCATCCTGGTACCGATTAGCTTTGATACACTAATCACTTCAAATGGTATTCCTTTCAATGTTTTGTTCACAGCATCCTTTACAAACTCCTATGATCTATAAAAAAGAGAATATAAAAATTAAATAAAGCATTATTTAACTGATACTCTGGCTTTTTAACTGTAATGGCTTCATAATAAGAAAAATTGTTATGAAATCAAGTTATCATTCCCGCTGCGATAATTTTTTCTTTTTTTTTTACACATTTTTATCGCGAGAATCTATAATGAATTATTCTCTTATTACTTTCGCCTTTAGAGAGTTTCAATCAAAGATATGATTGCACCTGCTGGTCCTAGTGTTAAGCCAATTTTCTTCAATTAAACAAAAGAATGCGATCTCATTCTTTCTACTATATCTATTTCATCATCGAGAAATAACTTAGGTGCTAACAAATTATAATTTGTTGGACTTAAATCCCTCTTCTCTTCGACGCTTGGATTTCATAGATGGGACAATTTTCTCCCACTTTACCTGTGGATTGATTGTTCTCTTAGAAGGACGATGGTATTTCCTATGATCTTTTTACCTTTCGTGGAAGACGTTGATAGTTTGAAGATAACAGATGCATTTAATAATACTATAAAAATGATATATTTGAATAATCAATTTTTTTTGGAATTTAGCACTAGTATCGGACATTTCTTTATTTTTACCAACTTACAAACGGGATTAAAAAAAAAGCTATCTATTTCTGACTAATACATTGCATCTTCCAAATGAATAATAATAATAAATAGAATAAAAAAAAAAAAAAAAATAATTTATGACGATATTCCTTCCTATGATACGATTCCTAATTTCTCTTTTTCCCTTTCTTTTTGTTACGACAATTTCTGGAAAGGTGAGTCCATTCTTTACAATGATGACATTGTTTCCTATAACATTCGCCGGTGTTATGATTAGAAAGTTTACATTTTAAACAAAACTTTCCCGTATCACCCGGTCTTCGAGGCAATTCTTTGATTGCTTTTTTACTCTGCCGGAGATCAAGTTTCTCTTCTAATTCTTTATATTGTTGAGTAGTCACCCGATGACTATGATGGTCGACTTCAACACAATTGTCAAATAAACATGGCGTATTCCAGCCCCGGAATATATGCCACCAATAAGTGTATTCGACACTCGGTTCCGCAACTACTTGATCTTGCTGTTTCTTTTTTTTTTTTTTTTTTTTTTTGGTTTAATACTATGCCCAAGGCATCCTTCTTCTTGGTGTCGGTAATATCCTCCTGAAGCTCGTATTTCTATTACAAGATTATGCTTTTCCATAATATTTCGAACTTCTTTAATTTTACTCCATTCTTCCTCAGAAAATACTACCCTTGTATTACATACAATTTCAGATGAATTTTCATTGATCATTTTTCTTTTAGATGTTTGATAAAAAAAAAAAAAATTTTCGAATGAAATTTTTTGTTTATTTTAAATGGGAAAATCGATCCCTTTTATAATATTTTAAATCATTAATCAATCTAAAAAATCGCGATCCAACCACATGATTTTCTTTCGTGTAAATAAACGTGACATCAATCAAATATTGAATGGGCTTGCCAAAATAGGAAATCATAGAACCAAGCCTCGAATTAGAATGATTCAAATATTGGTTAATTTTTTTTTGATTCAAATCTCCTGATCTCTTAGATAATAGGCCATTTCAAAGTTGATCGTTCGGATTTTGTGATTGGGTTGTACAAACATTTCGACCAATAACATTTGCGAT